TTCCATGTTCTTGTGATGATGAATAATGCTGCTATGAACACTGGTGTGCTTATGCTGTTTCTTACTGATTCAGTTGTGAGAATTCTTTTTCTATTGAGGTGTAATCCATATGGAAGGCTATAGTCCTTGATCTTCATAAGCTCGTCAAGTCTTCATTTTCTGGAATCAAGGTTGTACCCTCTTCCTATTGTAGGTTGTTAGTGACTCTTCCTAAAATGCCTATGATTTTGGTGGTTCTGTGCTCTAAGATGGTGACAGGTGTGATTCTCCTGAGATACAAGGGCAGGATGTCCTAACTATAAAGTCTGCCTAAATTTTTTGAACCATGATCAGAACTTTGAACTTGTAGCTCTCCAAGCCCCACCATGTAGAACCAAGACTAACATTCAAATTGGATAATTTTTAATATTTTTTGTCTCTCCAAGAAAGACTTTATAATGAGCCCTTGTAGAAGCTGCCATTGTTTTTCTCATAAAAATGTGTCCTTTAAACGTTCTCCGGGGTCTAGGTTGTAGCCAATTCTCCATTATACAAACATCAATTCACCAAAATATTGTCTAGACAAAACTCAGTTGTTATGTAAACAGGTGGGTTTTTTTGTTTTGTTTTGTTTTTTTGCGTAGGGAACAGAGTTCATGACTATTTAGACTAAATTTCCCTAAACCACGAAAACTTTTCCATAGTCCTCAGCCATGCTGACCTCCCTGACATGGCCTGATCCAGATTTTGAATTGGCATGGGTCATCTAAACTACTGTGTGGATCACAGAAAAGTTTGGCTAACTTTGAGGAAAATGGGAATCCAGAACACTTGATTGTACTTATGCAAAGCCTATACTTAGACCCACAAGCAGTTCTCAGAACAGAGCAAGGAAACACTGCATGGTTCAAAATCAGGAAAGAAATGAGTCAGGGATGCATCCTGCCCTCATACCTTTTCAATTTATATGCAGATGACACAGACTTGCTTGCTGAAACTGAAGAAGACCTGAAGCGCTTGCTGCAGAAGGTCAAGGACTATAGTCTTCAATATAGATTGAAGCTTAACATCAATAAGACAAAGGTTCTCACCACTGGGCCAACTGGTAGCACCATGATAGATGGAGAAGAGGTTGAGGTTATTAGCAATTACAGCTTGCTCGGCTCTACAATCAACACTCTTTAACACCAGGAGTTAGGAAATCAGAAGACGAATTGCATTGAGAAAATGTGCTGTCAGGGACCTTTCCAGAGTTCTGAGAAGCAACGATGTCATTCTAGAGACTAAAGTGCACCTACTTCAGGTCATGGTCTTCGCAACTACTTGTTATGCTTCAGAGAGCTGGACAGTAACTAAGGATGACAGAATAAGAATTGATGCCTTTGAGTTGTGGTGCTGGAGAAGAATTTTGAACACACCATGGACTGCCAAAAAAATAAAAAAATGTTTGTCTTTGAGAGGATGGAACCAAGTTTCTCCTTGGAGGCTAGAATTTTGAAGCTCCATCTCACATACTTTGGGCACGTGGCCAGGAGAGACCAGTCCTTGGAGAAGGAAATCATGCTTGGAAGTGTGGATGCACAGGAGAGGAAGACCCCAGATTGATGATTATTGCAATGACTCGGACAATGGGGCTTGGTGTGTTGGTATTAGTGAGACTGGCTCAGGACAGGGAAGGGTTCAGAGCTGCCACTAGTTCTACAACATATTTAGAATGATGACCTGAATTACCACAGGGTTTTGACATAGGGTCACTATGGGATGCAGATGACTCGACGGCACATAACAGCAACAACAACATCAAAACCCGATTACCTGGACTGGAATAATAGCTGATGACCATGGGAACATTGCTTAACCTCTTTGCCTCATTATCCACATCTACAAAATGAAAAGAGTTTCATCAGCTTGCTGACATAGTGAATAAATATGTAGAAAGTATTTAATTTTGTGGCTGGAACACAATAAGAGTTCTGGAGGCTGGTTAGCACTTATCTCATGCTTAAGCCATATTTGGGAGCCGTGTGCTAGGGAATTACCTGGACTCCTGTGTCCACAGGAATCTATTTAACTGGTGGCATGAAGGGTGACTTGTATGTACAGAACGGGACAGCTGTCTCTGGTGATCAGGTATGCTTCTACCTTGCTCCCCAGAGATCCATATAAAATATAAAAACTCAATCCATGCATTTTCTGTACCCATAAATTCTATTCCCAAGGCACAGGGAATTCGCCATCCCCATGGGAAGTCGAAAATTGGCCTCTATTTTCTATTTGGTAATTGGCAGTGAGAACTAACGTGTGAAAGAGGAAGAGTGTGTACTGAATGCTAATGGTATTGCCAGGACTCTTCCAGGAGGGTTTTATTCATCGAAACATGAATAAGTTATTGAGCACCTACTGTGCGCCACACACGGCTCTCGGTCTTGAATAGAAAACAGACAACAGCACAAACTGAGTCCTTGCTCCTGTGGGACTTACCTCGTAAGTGTCCACTAAATATGATGTCGATCATTCTATTAGAATTTCCCACTAATTATCCAACATACTCAGAATGATAACCCTGAATTACCACAGGGTATTGAAGTATCCTGTGAATCACCAAGTAAGAGACACATTTTGGTCACTGCAGCTCAGCTAAGATGCATATTTTGTTGCACACTAATAATTTTTTTTAAATTTTCCATGTCATGTAACTATTTTCTATCCATTTTAAATAAAACAAAAAGATCTTTTCCTAGGCCACACTGAACAATAAGTATCTTCGCTCTACATGGAATTATTTGTAGATTACTATTAGTTGATTTTTTGCTTGTCGGTAGGCTTTCTTTGTATGTTTCCTTTCATTTCTCAGAAATTAATGTCCTTTCCGGCCCAAGGGATTGTGAATTTTATCAGGGTAGGGAGCTTCCCAAGCCTGTTCATTCCATCAATGACAGTCCCAGCCCGCCTGCCTGCCCACCCTTTGAAGGAGGTCAAGTTAAAGGAGGAAAGCTCTTGTTGCTGTCTTGTAGCATTCGCCAGCCCCCCTCTGGAGCTCTGCCCTGGTACCGTTTTCTGATATCAAGAGAGACATTGCCAAGCGCTTCCCTAAGAGGTCCGAAACCTCCTTCTGCTGTGGCTCTCCAGCTTCTGTGCAAGGATCAGATGGCGTGGCCGCTCTTCAGATTCCTTTTCAGCAGTCATGACCTGTTCCTAGAATTCTGAGGCAGAAACCTGGGAGGGTTTGGAAGTTGTTCCCATTATTTGAAGGCATCCATCTGCTAGAAAGCCAAGGGGACTGAGGAGTCTCAGCGCTTCACCGCAGGCTCAGACACACACATGCACAGAGGCACACAAAGGCACGCACTTGCGTACACGCACACAGACAGCCATGCTCCCTGGGCCTCTGCGGCCTCCCCGTCCTTGAAGAGAACAGCCCTGCTTATCCTTTGCTCAAGCTCCAGGGCCCTCTCCATCTGCATTCTCAGAGAAGGCAATGCACATCCTCACCCTTGCTCTGGAGGAGAACTTAGACCAAGCAGGTCCAAGAGAGGGAAGGCCAGCTTACCCACAGAAGAGGAGAGGAAGGGGAGACTCATGCGTGGAAAAGGGACACAAGTGGTAGGGAAAGAAATTTTATTTTCAAGCTTTCCAGAGAATATTACAAACAACAGAGAGTTTTAAAAAAACCCTAAAAACTAGTTTAAAAAAGTACTCGACAGTGTCCCTTTAACACCCACAGATGACACGGCCATTGTGCAATGACATCAAGAAACTCCTCAGGTGCCACCCAGTGCCTTTCCTGGCAGGGTCCCCGGGATCAGCAGGTGGGCATGAGGGACACCGCTCCCTGGGCTGGCCCGGCTGCTCGGAAGGCCCACGCCACCCTTAGCTGAAGGGCTGTCCCGCCTCCCCGGGTGGGACTCGAGCAGCCAGAACTCTCAGATCTTCTCCACGCCCTGGCGCCCATCTGCCCGGTTCCCTCCCAGTCAGTGCGGTAGCTCACCCAGGGGACCCTGGGTGGGAGGTGCCCTGCTGGAGGTAGGGCTGGGCATGTGCCCAGGCAGAGGGAAGCATGACACCGAGTGCATCCTGGCCCTGGTGGAGTTGGGTGCTTGGGAAAAGTCACTCCTGGCCTGACAGCTTGGAGGTCTCAGCCACAGCTGGAGGACTGTGCTTGCAATGCGATACCCACGGGAATCTGTACTTTTCTCTAGTTGTGCGTGGTGTGTGTGTGTGTGTGTGTGTGTGTGTGTGTGTGTGTGAGAGAGAGAGAGAGAGAGAGAGAGAGAGAGAGAGTGTGGTTCCTGTAAACATCTTTGAGTCAAATCACCATAAAACAAAGCGACAGGGGCATACAAAGATACTCATCTTCAAACCTTAGCCCTCAAACACATCTAAAATGGGAGGTTTCCACCTGGGAGGTTTAGGGGCGAGGAAAAATGCCCCCACCTCAGGCAGCTCACATCAACGTCTCCCTCCCTGCACCCTCACCCCGAGACTCTCAAGCCACTCAAGTCAGCAAGCCCTGCCCACCCAGGGGAGAACAGAGGTGCCAGAGCTTTAAGTATCTCCACCAGTTCCCACCCAGCCCGACCCCTCCGGCCCCACTGCCCGCGTGGGACACAACCTGGGAGAAAGCCCACCAAACCCAAAGCTGAGGTCAGAGAAGGCTGCACACCTTGTCCCTTCTGCAGCTCTCCCACCACCGCCCCCACAAGCCCCAGCCACCCTGGTCCTGCCCACCCCACTGCTGCTTCTCCCGGGGGTTCTGTTTTGCGTGCCTGGGCGGCTTTCGTTGAGCTTTGCCATCTAGTCAGGATTGCACTCTGCTGCTGACTTGCTCTTGGTTTGGGCTGCTCTTGTCTGAGGATGGTATTGACCGAGAAGCCTCAACCGCGCCCAGGGGCAGCCTCGCTCCGGCTCCAATCCTGCCTCAGGGCTCCTGCCTGCTCTCCTGCCCTGGCCCTTGGGGTGCCACCCAGCCTCCCCAACGCTTGCTCCTTTGCCAGGTGTGCCCTGGCCCTTCCCTGGGCCCAGGTCCCTCGCGCACGTGGTTAAGGCCTTCCTTCTTCTCCTCCTCACACTGTCGTGACCCTCATGACGAGCTCTCGGCTGCCCCCCGGGGGGCTCCGCTGTTCATGAGTTCTCAGGTGACTCAAGAGGTGCAGGATGGTGTAAGCACAGTGGTGATCGGACACGGGGCCTGAGGGGTGGCTGGCAGCCCGGGCGGGGCCTTCCTCAGGGGCGGGGGTGCCCACCGCCGCCTCCTCCTCTGAGGGAACATTGGCCTGTGTGGACGAGGAGGTCCGGGGGTTGGGCCTGCCGCCGGCCTTTTGATCCTCCAGGTCCTTTGCCTTGTCATAGTTCAGCACTTTCCACTGCTGGTTGACAGCCTGCCACCGTTTAAAAATGCGGTACACAGAGGGTCCCTCGTGGATGATGAGGCCTGAGCATCAGGGGAAGAAGAGAAAAACTAAGTAAGAAAAGGCATCACTGCTGGGGAAGGAAGGCCTTGCCTCCCTTTACGTCCGGAGCCAGACACCTCGGTAAGGTGGGCTTTTAATGGTGGCTGATTTGTTCTTTTCAAACCCACCTTTCAGCCCTTAGCCATAAACTGACCATATTTGTGTGTGTGTGTGTGTGTGTGTGTGTGTGTGTGTGTGTGTGTACCGTCAAATCAGATCTGACTGGTACAGGAGGAGACTGCCCCTCCTTCTCCAGCAGAGCATCTGGTGGATTCGAACCACATGCCTCTGGGATTGCAGAGCAGCTTCTTGCCACTAGGCCACCAGAGCTCCCTGACCATCTTTAGATTCCTAGGCTCAACCAGTCTTTAGGAGGTAGAATGTGGAGGAATATATATCATTCTCCATTCAGGAAACAGTTTACCGTCAACACTCAACACCTTTACCCTCCTACGCCGCCCTCCCCACTTCTAATGTGGCAAAATTGTAAATTCATCTTTTGAGACACAATGTCAATATCTTGTCCGTCCTCGGCCACATATCCATGGCACCCACTACTTCGAAGACGCTGACTGAGTTCTGTGATTGCCAAGCAGGGCATTGGTTCATTCCAATTGAACCACCTGCTGAGAATTTGCATATCTGCTGTTAAAGGGAATTAGGATCTGCACTGTAAAAAGATTCCTTAAGTGATTGGTAGAGATCCCCAGGTGATTCTTAAACTTAAGATTGTGTTAAAATGCAGACGCTGATTCCACATATCCGGGGCAAACATGAGTGAACAAGTTTCAAAGGCATCAGAAAAGAAACTGCACGTTTGACGGTTGTTCAATGGTTGCCGAATGATATCTGAAACTCAGCCTGTTAACTCTGTCCAGTATCCAGTGCTACTGAGGTGCAAACAGTCCTGAGAAAAACCACCTTGGTTCAGTTACACTGATCAGGGCCAGGGGGATGGTGGAGTCGGAAACACACCATGACAGGGGCAACAAGCAAGTGATAACCACTGCAGGTGCTGCGATATCCCACGGAGAACTATTTTTTTGGAAAAGAACAGCACATGTGGGGGCAAAGGACTGCAGATTCTAAGGTTATAAGGAGCGAATTAAGAGTCAGAGAAGGTCAGGGGAGCCAAAGTGAGGGGCATGGTGGGTGGTGACCAGGCTGTGTCAGCACTTTGGAACCACAGTAAGGAATTTGTCTTTTATCCTGAACATCCTGGCTTTTAATAGAGGAGCTGATGTGATCTTATTTACCCCTCAGGAAATTCACTCTGTAGAAGCAGTAATCTGCAAAGGAGCAAGAGCAGGAACTGAGAGTGAAGGCGGACGGTCTGTAGGAATTCCTTTTGGAAGGACAGACGTCTCCCAGGTATCAGGGGCTGCCAGGTCGAATCATGGAGACACTATGTGTCTGAGTGGAATTTTGCCCCATAGGGTTTTCAGTGACTACTCTGGTGGCCTAGTGTTAAGGTGCTACCCTGCCAACTTGAAGGCACACAGTTCAAATCTACCAGCTGTTCCAGGCAGAAACGATAAGCAGTCTCCTTGCATGCAATGAACTGCCTCTGAAAACCCAGCGGAGGATCAGCTACGAGTCGGTTCTGACTTGATGGTACACAACTACAGTAACTTTTCAGAGATTTCTCTTTTTCCAGCATGGCTCTGGGTGAACTGAAACCTTCAGCGTTTGGATTAGCAGTCATGAACAGTAACATTAACCAGGGACGTCAGTGGTGAGGGGTGGGCTAGACTAGACATAGAGTGGTGGGAATAGTAAATGTTTAGGCAGGAACTACACTGCACAAAGCTTGTTGAGAGATGAGATGTTAGTGAAGAGAAAAATGTGGACAGTTCTGAAGCATTTAGCCTCAGCAGTTGGATGAATAAGAGTTCATTTACCAAGATGTAAAGGGCAAGAGCATAGACAGTGGGGGTTAGGTAAAGTGGTGGTAGTAGCAGAGATGGTATTCATTCCATATGGCTGCTACGCATTCTGATGGCCTAGTGGGTAAGGACTTGCGCTGCCAACCCAAAAGTGTGAGGTTGGAATCCACCAGCTACTCGTTGGGAAAAAGATGAGCAATCCCTTCCCATGGAACTATAGCCCCTGACAAGCAGCTGGAAGGTCAACTATAAGTCAGTTCCTACTCGATGGCTCATAACAACTACAACAACAACTCGTCTGGTCACATGATCCCCAGGGAGTTGTGCTGCTGCTTCAATGCCCTCACCTCCACGGCAATTCAAATCATTTTTTCCCACGTGATTTAGAGTCACATGCACATGGTGGAGTGTTAGCTGTGAGACCGTTGCTGTTAGGTGCAGTTGAGTTGTGTATGATTCATAACGACCTCATGAACAACAGAACCAAACCCCCTAGTTTCTACTCAATGATAAAAAAATCCAAATATCTCTTTCTACTTCAGTGCCATCTTGTTTGAGACCTCTGAACCCCGAGGGCCAAGTGGAGGAAAAAGCAAACGTGCAGGCTGAAGCATAAAAGAAGAGAGATGAGGCCGAGGTCCAAGAAGACGTGAGCGTGTGCACCTGCAGACACCACCGCGGCAGGAGTAGAGAACACCACAGGCTGGGAACGCTGATACCAATTGGACTCCATGCTCGTCTAGAACTTCTGACTCAAGAGATCTAGAACATCCATCACCATTCAATCGCCATGAACCTCTCAGAGAGGCCCACTTTCCTCCTTCAAAACCAGGCCCTTCTGATCTGTTGCCCTGGACCAGTGATATTCTGGACTGACTCTGCTTAGTTGGGGTTGGATGTCAAGTGCGCAATAAATCATCTCTTCTGCTTTCTTAGCTGAAGAATAAAACAACAACAAACAAACAAACAAAAAACAAAAAAAATGAACCAGAAACATAAGGCAGTGAAGGTAAATTTTAAGAAGTCTGGCCTAGAAGTAGGTGTGGCTAATGTAGAAGTGGAACTTGGAGCTTTGGAAACGCCCTGGATCTGTGGGGGAGAGAAGGTGGAGAGAGAAAATCGGTGACCAACCCAGAGCTGTCTGATGTTTATACGTTTAGGGTGAATGCAGGTGGACATGGAGCCAGCAAAGGGTGATCTGAAGAAGAAATGAGTGGGGTCAAAGCAAGACCAGTAAGTGCGAAAACCAAAAAGTCTGAACAAGGAAGCTTTTCAAGAAGAAAAATGTGATAAATGCCTCCAGTGCTGTTGAGAAGTCAGCTCAAGTGAAATGAGAAGAACCCTTTGGTATGCTGAAATGGTATTAGGGCACTGCAATCCCAAAGGTGAGCAGTTCAAATCCACCAGATGCTTTGCTGGAGAAGGAGAGGCAATCTCCTCCTGTGTCAGTCAGATCAGATTCAATGGTACCCAACAAGGAAAAAAAAATTAACATGGCAGTGGTAAAATGAAGTCATTCTCATCCAAATCTACCTTTTACTTCCATGAAGTCCTCTGATAAGATAGAGTGGATAAAAGAGGAGTTACTGAAGATTTACGGAAAGAGGAGAAGATGAGGGAAATTAGGTTGGAAAGTGAGAATGTGAGTTCCTAGGTATCTGTGGCAGAAGGACCTGACCAGCTTGAGTGCCTAATTGAGATTTATAGTCATAAATTTAAAGTAAGTCTAGTCCTTGATTATGTAATATCCTTCTCTCTTCACCTTCAACTGCTTGGGCTTAGGGAAATTGTTCTTCCAGACAAATGGACATGAGAATTATGTTTGCTTATAAGAGAGTGGTTATCATGTTGATCCAGAGAGCCTAAGCTGAGTGGGAAGCACGTGAGTACACAAAATTTATAATAAATAATGAAAACTGATCTGGGAAACATCAAGAGAGTTCTAGAAACCACCTGCATTCCTCAGTCACTTCCTCACATCACACCAACTGCTTGGAGTGTGAATACAGGGAGTCCTTGTCGCATGATAGAGTTGAGTTATGATGAACAATATGTGTTTTGTTTCTTTAGTAATCTGTACTAATATGCTCTACATACAGCGTTACAGCATGTAGTTTGCTGGTATGATCATTCTAAGATAATCACCTGCAGATATTCAAAGACCAGATTTGTAAAGATGTTAATAATAAAAGGCAAGAAAAACAAAAGAGGTATTCAATTTACATGAGAACTGACTTAGGGTGGAGTCATCAGAAGAGAACCCTTTCCATGGGCTGGAGTCAGAAGCTGGAGTCAGTGAACTCTAAGCGCAGAGAGTGATAACTGTGTATGACTTATTGAATGGGAAACCAATTTATTCTGTAAACTTCTACCTGAATCACAATTTAAAATGAACGACGGATGATGAAGTGTATTAAGAATTTTGGAAGTGGTACAGAGAGAGAGAGATCAGCTGGCCCAGTGGACAGAAAGCGATGCTACCAAGCTGAAGGTGAGTGACTTCTAATCCGCGGCCCTTGGGCCTGTCTTTCATTGTTCTTGTTCAGACATTCCTCTAGGTCATATAGCCCTGGTGTACAAGTTGCAGTACCTTGGTCACTTTTGGTTGCTGTGAGGCTGAACACCGTGACACCGGTGTGTCAAATGTGTTAATGGTTGGCTACCCAATGCGGACAGAGAGTGGGGTGGAGCTCCCCGATTAAAACAAGCTTGGAAGGAGGAGTGGCATCCACTTCCATAGTAGTTTGCCTCTGAAAACCCTATGAACCTGGAGAGAGGATGAAAGACACCCAAGCGTCGAGGACTCTCCTTCATAGGGTCACTGTGAGTCGCCTGCAACTTGATGGCACTTAACAACAACAACCACCACCACCATTATAAGTCATGAAGAAGTCTGAAGGATGACTGAGTTAAGGGCTGAGGTTGGCTGACGAGAAAGATTTTTGGAATAATGGAGAAGCCAGCGAGCTGAACAGATGATCTACATCAACTGTTTTCAGTGCTGTCAGATCAAATAACCTCTTTTTATAACAAAAAATTTCATATCCTTTTATCTCATGATGAAATAAAACTCTTGTGATGATAGAGGCTCTTAT